CTCTCAAACTACCTAAACTAGTTATAAATATGTTTATTTTTACTGTCGGGTCACTCATTACTGGATCAGCTGCTGCATGAGACAGACACTGACGCTGTCCGAAGAGAGCTCAATAAATAACAAAGAAGACCTTTGACCGGCACTTTTATCATTTTGTCCGGAAGATTTAAACTTTAATACACGTTGACTGGCAAAAAACTCCTCGGCCCCCACCGCGGAGAATAAACAGAAGGGCAATCATGACAACCATGCTTCTTCGCTGCTTTTGTGGAGGAAGTTACAGCGCCACGTTCAGGCTCCTGCATATGTACTGCAGCTTCTCCAGCGGTTGGAGCTAAACGGAGCTGTCTCGTGTGGACAGACACTATCCGGTGAATATTGTGTGTTGTAGGAAGCTTTTTTGCGTTTGCGTTAATCCTATGCGTTTAGCCGTATGCGTCCTCGTGGGGCCGGGGCCTAAGGTGCTTTTGGTTTGTATAAAATATATGATGTGTGTTGTAACAATGTGACTTGATAATGATATCAAAATCAAAAATGGTTTTGCTAATAATGTAGAATGGATCAAATGTAGTTGTATGCCAAGGTACTCTACAACAAGCTAAGAAACCATACCAACTCCGGAGAAGAACATCCTTCTCTACAGCTCCACTTTCTTCACCAGCCAGTCTCTAAGGGCCTGTGTCCACATAGCGTATTTTTCTGGGCGCTGGTATTCTTTCAATGTTTTCAATGCAGCCGCCTCAAGAAAAAAGTGTTTCATCTGCCTTCTTTTTTCACAGCGCTATGCCGTTTTTGTGCGGCTGCTCCAAATGCTTCGAGTTTTAAATATCTCAACATTTCATAAAAGTCCACGTGACATTACTGTAGGAATTGGAACACAATGTTGTTTGTGGACGTGTTTCTCGGACATCATAACAAAAACTGAAAAGCCTTGAGCAGATCAGCTGGACGGACCCTGAAGAGTGCAATACTTTAATATGTACAGCATGTATTATTGTTTGACTTTTATCTCCGTACGCGAATCGCCCACCTTGCTCTATGACTGTCAAACTGAGAGATGCAAGCAAGCATCTTCCTGTTGGTATTTATGGTAAAAAAAAAGACGAAAAAAAAGAAAAAATGATCGTAGCACAACTAGATAATAAAATCAAAGGGGTCTGTCATATGAAAGCTGTGATACTTTGTCAAGATGTGGTTGTCATAGAAGCACTCAAACAAACATCTCTGTCACACACCCTCACAATAAAAATAAACACTTAATCAGAACAGAGTTTATCAGAACTAGTTGGCTGCTGGAAACAAAACTGATGAAAGCATTGAGACGGGAAATGTGCCATTAAACTTAAACTATGAGCTAAAAGAAGCCAAAAAGCTCTGTGCAGCTGCAGAGTTGGGTCAAATAACTGTTGGTTCTGTCAAAAGAAATGAGGAGTAGTCTTCCTGTAGAAACCCTGATTGGTAAATGTAACCTGTGCGGCTGCAGCTGAGTGTTTCCCTGCTGTTTATTGTGACCATCAACCATCCCTGACAGCAGAGCCAGTGACTGCCGCAGCCATAGATCACAGCTGATTAACGGAGCTCACCAAAACAACAAACAACTGGAGAGAGTTTCCTCTAACTGAGAATGTTCTCAAACGTTACTGGTAACTCTTTTTTCTTGCATCTCAACAGCATTTGCCACATCAATTAAGAAAAAGGTTCAAGACACAAAAAAAACCTTTAACATTACATTACAGGAGAAATATCTGTCCATGTTTCTTGTCCTTAATGTCATACTGTACTGGACTTTCAAACTGACTACATACAGTCTACATCTCATGCCTAGATTGTTCTGCGTGTTTTATTTTTACTGTAAATTAAAAGCTCATGATTATTTAAAAAAAGGTATTTCTTTCCATTTTAAGCTGACAACTTCACACCTGGCCAATGAACACAGATTGAACCTTAGGAGCAGTTAAAAATCCAGTTATGTTAAAGAAGAGCAGAAAACTGAAATATCATAGTGCCGGCTCTTATCTGATCTTGGTGGGGGACCGGGGTTTGAATCCAGCCTGGGACCATTTGGGTCAAATCTGACCGATTTATTTTACTTTACTTTCAATCATAAATAACATTTTTTGCATTTCTTTGCCTTAAACAATAACCACTTTCATTGCATTTTGAGTGCTTTCTGAGTTTCTTAACTTTGTAATACCTATGATGTTCCCAGTCAAAAATGGCCGCCATAGGAAATGAATGGGTAACCCTAGATTATGTTGATCCATCAGATAGTACACACACAAATCGACAACCATATATTTTTTTAGAATGCAACATTTTTCAGTGTCTTTTCTTTATGTATTCACTGGAGTTATTTATGTAAACATGTAGTCTGAGATATTGTTTTTAGATTAAAGGCACTGGTTGCCCAAATAAATATTTAAAAAAACCTCCTTAAACTTCAAACTGTAGATTTAAATATTACTTCGCTCTATTAATCTTTAGTATTACAGTCTAATAAGGACCTCAATACAACTATAATAAACATGGAGGTCCAACACATGATATTATGATCGCATAATATTCACAACAAAAATGCACAATGTCTCATCATCACAGTTCTGCAACCGAATACAGGGGGTGATGATGGGGGAAGACTGGAAGGGTAATGAGCCAAATACAACCAGGATATAAACATTTAGTTTGTGGTGCATATCATTCGTAGAACACAACAGCAATGTTTGTTCTGGAGAAAGATTATTACGAAGCGGACAATCCACACTCCCTGTCAGGGCCCGTCACCACACCTCTCTCTGCCTCTCCACCTTTATTTTTATCTCTCCTTCTCCACCTTTCTGATTGTCTGTGAGCCTCTCCCCGTCTCCCCCCCGCAGGATGCAGGAGAGAGGAAACACTCTGATAGTGGATACAAACGATGGGCTGCTGCCAGGCTGCAGACTGCCATTCTGCTGATTGGCACTGCAGGCGGTAAACACTGCGGCACACACAGGATGTTAATGGAACCACAGCCCAGGGACACACTCACACACTGGAGTGTGTGTGTGTGTGTGTGTGTGTGTGTGTGTGTGTGTGTGTGTGTGTGTGTGTGTGTGTGTGTGTGTGTGTGATTGGTGGCTACTTTCTTACACATGTCTACAAGACTTCCTTTTTCCATCCAGGCATTTGAGAATCATTCCAATGTGTGTCAGTTTGCATTTTATCCACGTAACCCCAGGCTATGAATTGACATTGGTGGACACGCACTCTGTGTGTGTGTGTGTGTGTGTGTGTGTGTGTGTGTGTGTGTGTGTGTGTGTGTGTGTGTGTGTGTGTGTGTGTGTGTGTGTGTGTGTGTGTGTGTGTGTGTGTGTGATAAATTCCTGAATCAATCTCTCCCTCAGAACCAGGCTCATGGCCTCAGGGTCGCAGGTTTGAATCCCGTGAGGAGGAAGTTAGAGAATATTGAGGATGTTACTTCTGAATAGATATGACAGAGTCGATAACTAGAGTACATGTACTTCAGTGGAATATAGTTTACCTATTTTTGTTTTACTCTGAAAAAACTGAAGCGTTTACTTTAATTCAATGTTTTATGTCAACAGATTTCCCATAAATAAAATGTTGTTAAAATAAAAGATATTAGGTTCAACTTAATATTATTGCTCTCA